GCAGACGAGGTTAAAGATGAGTTTTACAGAAAGCTTTCGGACCTCCTCCAAAAAGCTAGGCGCTCTGATATAGTAATAATGGCTGGTGACTTTAATGCTCAAGTAGGTAGACTAGGTTAAAAGGAAAGACATCTTGGTGGATGTTATGGTGTAGCGACTGAGAGAACAGACAATGGCGACCGTCTGTTGCAACTATGCTCAGATAACCGCCTATTCTTAGCGAACACTAACTTTAGGCATAAGGAAAAGCATCTGTTGACCTGGCGACCTCCGAAGTCGTCTCAACGTTGGACTCAACTAGATCACATCGCCATCAGCCACCGATTGAGGGGTTCGATAGAAGACTGTCGCTCGTTCTGGGGCACATGTTTGGATTCAGATCATGCTCTAGTGCGAGCTCGTATCTGTTTAAGGCTTACTGGACGTAGGAAAGACACCGTAAGAAAGCCTCTTAGGGTTTTACTTAATGATAATAAGGCGAAAAAATATTTCAGGAGCAACTAGAAAGAGAGTTAGGCAACCATCTAAGCGATTCCCATCCGGAAGCAGGATGGAATGATATCAAAAAGGCTGTGGAAACAGCAGTGATATCTGCTAGTAAGGTTGACCGTAAGGCTAGAATGAAACCGTGGATCTCTGTAGCATCCACCGATCTGATGGATGCCCGAAAACTCATCCCACCTGGCTCTGAACATGATGAAGAACGAAGTCAACTTAGGCGCAGACTTATAAAAAGCCTACGTAACGATCGCGAACAGTGGTGGGTGGCGAAAGCAAAAGCGATGGAAAAGGCAGCGGCGATCGGCAACAGTAGACAACTTTTCCGACTTATCAAGGAAACTGGTATTAGGAATCATAGTGTAAGTGAGACTATCTCGGAAAAGGATGGTCTTATTATCCATTCTCAATCCAGGAGACTGGATCGATGGGCAGAACACTTTAGGGATCAGTTCAACTGGCCACGAGCCACTCTTCGGTTACCCACGATCTCCAGTCATCCTGAATGGCAAATCGACCTAAGTCCCCCTAGTCTTAATGAAGTTGAAAAAGCGTTAGGAAATCTGAAGCGAGGGCGAGCTGCGGGTCCTGATAGACTGACCCCTGAGATATTTAAGGATGGTGGTCCAGTTTTATCTGCTAGGTTGACTGAGATCTTAGGTGGAATCTGGAAACTGGACGCAATCCCATCCGACTGGACTCAATCACTGATTGTCCCAATCTATAAGAAAGGACAGAAGTCTTCTTGTGACAATCACAGGGGAATAAGTCTAACTAATATAGTATCTAAAATATTGGTCTCAATAATACTTCGACGCTTAGCGAAAGCTCGTGAAGAGCAGACTCGAGAAAACCAATCTGGTTTTCGACCTGGACGTGGTTGTATAGACCACATCTTCACACTACGACAGGTCCTGGAACACAGACACACATTTAGGCGTCCTACAATAGTCGTTTTCCTGGACCTTAAGGCGGCATTTGACTCTGTGGATCGTGAGGTTCTGTGGCAGTGTCTGTCATTGAAAGGTGTACCAAAGAAGTACATTAACCTTATACAAGCTCTCTACTCGAACACCAATGGTCGAGTGAGGGCTTATGGCGAACTGTCACCGGAATTCTCTACATCAAGTGGTGTCCGTCAGGGATGTCCACTTTCTCCATTCTTGTTTAATTTTATCATAGACATGCTCCTAGATATAACCTTATCCTCGTCTGAATTTTCAGGAGTAGACCTTCTTCCAGGTGGCTCGCTTATTGACTTAGAATATGCCGATGACATTGTCCTACTTGGTGAAGATGCTGACAAAATGCAGAGTCTTCTGACTACCATAAGCAACAATGCAAGCATGTTTGGGATGCGGTTTTCCCCCTCGAAATGCAAAATGTTGCTTCAAGACTGGGTTGCATCAGCACCTGAACTAGTGATAGGGAGTGAAGTAGTCGAGCGTGTATACCGCTTCACTTATCTAGGGAGTCTCATCAGTGCCGATGGCCTGGTGACTGACGAAATCTCAGCTCGGATACAGAAGGCTCGATTGGCTTTTGCCAACCTACGTCACTTATGGCGTAGGCGAGATATCCGTTTGCTGACAAAAGGACGAGTTTACCGTGCAGCAGTTCGCCCCGTTCTCCTATATGGCTGTGAGACATGGCCAGTGAGAGTAGAATATTTTCGTAGGTTACTGGTTTTCGATCATAGGTGTCTTCGAAGCATTGCTCGTATACCGTGGGACAACCGAGTAAGCAATGCTGTCATTAGGAAACGAGTACTAGGTAAGGATGGCAGATCAATAGATGAAGTGGTGAAACTTCATCAGTTGAGGTGGTTGGGACATGTCTTGCGTATGCCCAACCACCGACTGCGTCGACGAACTTTGTTTTGTAGTGTAGGAGTAGGTTGGAAGAAAGTTAGGGGCGGCCAGACCAAAACATGGCAGAAATCCATGAAGTCATTGACCAGTGGACTGAGCCATGTCGGTAATTGTCGACTACCTGGTTGGGGTCCGCGAGATGATGATAATCGATGGTTAGAGACCTTGAATGACATGGCTCAAAATCGTTCTCAATGGCGCCGGTGCATTTATTCTCTGTGTTCTCTCAAATCCTAATCTTTTGGATTCTTCAACACCTCTAGTTTCGACTCTCTAAACTTTTCTCACTGAATCATACTTCTTGAATAGTATCTTCTAACCCTAACCTCTCCGATTACTCCTAATTCCCTTACTACCTCTTCTACTATTGGATTTGAATTGACAATTACATCTCTGTGCTGATGTGGTATGGCAACATGAACTGATGTACTTATGTACAAAGTTCTACGTTGCATCTGACTGACTGACTGAGTTTGTGGGAGCGTAGGCAGATACGACGAAGAGGCAACGGCGAGTGTCCCTATCTTAACGAGTCCTTACTGTCCCGTTTAGTCGGACGGCGCACAAGCGACTATCTACTGGGACCCAGTCTAGGAGGGATAGTTCAGCCCTATGACTCAATGCTATACCTACACCAGCAAGACCCCTGGAGGCAGCATCAGGGCTTTCAGATACGCGAAGGATAGATCGAACTGCTTCTTTATTTTGACAAGGTTAAATCAAATTAATGACTTTACTAGGATCCTGTATGTGCGTTTCCGAGACGCAGCATACATCGATGGCGCGAGATTCCAGAGTCCTAGCTAAGGAAGCCTGTTGCCGTATTTGACACAATTTCCGGACATTAAGAGCTCGAATACCTAGTCTAGAATGGGGTTTCAGGAGACCAGGAATAACGTTTGTTTCGTGAACTCGAATTGTTTGTATTACCGGTGCGAGGTAATAAAGGGATGTGAGAAGGGTGAACCATGGAGATATGAGAGATGTTAGGTGTAGGAAGAATTCGATTGTGACCAATTCGGTCTCGTGTGCAGTTATAGGTATGAGAGCGGATGTCAATTCCCGGCTACCCCCACCGTGGAAAGGTGTCTCTTGAGGAACCTGAAAAGGAAGTTAGGTTACTGTTGGCTTTACAGACTTGGGAGCGTAAGCGCAGAGCCCAAGGGACAACTGGTTAAGGCCGGTCACACACAGTCAACAGTACGACTTCGCCCCCAGACCTTGAGTAGCTGCTTTTAGTCTCATCGATCGCCAATAGCCCTCCCTGGCCCGGTAGAACCTACAGGAGCATATGTTCCAGCCAGTATAGCTCGGTTGGATCATCACGATAGGCAAGCCCACAACCACGTCAACAGCATAGCTACGGTCAGGATCCTACTCTATGGCTGTGAAACATAGCTAGTCAGAGTAGAAGATACTCGCAGGTTACTAGTATTCGATCATAGATATCTTCGGAGCATCGATCGTGTATTCTGGGAAAACCAGTGAGCAATGCTGTTATAAGGAGACGAGAACTAGGTAGGGATGGCAAATCAATAGATAAAGTATTGGAACTTCAGTTAAGGTGGTTGGGACATGTTACGTATGTCCAGCCACCGGCTACCTTGACGAGCTATGTTTTGTGGTGTAGGAGTAGGATGGAAGAAAGCTAGGGGCGGTCAAACCAAAACATGGCACAGATGCATGATATCACTGACAACTAGAGTGAGCCATGTTGGTAGGTGTAGACTAAACGGTTGTGGTCCACAAGACTTGTAACCGATGGTTAGAAACTTTCAGTAACATGGCTCAAAACCGTTTGCAATGGAGGAGGTGAATCCATTCTTTGGCTTCTCTCAAATCGTAATCCTCTGGATTCATCATCTTTATCTGTTTAAATGTATTTCACTAGATTATACTTCTACTACCTCTAATACTATGGGGTTTGAATTGACAATTGCGTCTCCGTGCTGACGTGGTATGACAATTTGAACTGATGTATGTACGTACGAAGTTCCACGTTTTGCCCGACTATGCTGTGGTACGGCAACTTGAACTGGTGTACATACATACGAATTTCTAGATTGTATGTGACTGATACGTCATGGATATAAAGCTCAATCTATCTACTTACAAAAAGAACACATAAAACACTTGTCCTTTGTTTGTCAAAGTTACATCCTACAGTTTATTAGAAAGACATCAGTTTTTATTGCAAGAATGATAGTAACAAGTGTACAAAATAAAATAACTGATTATGTAAATTATCGAGAACAAGAACTTTATGAACGTGTATTTATCCTAGAAGCAAAACCAGGTGAAAAGTTTTTAAGTGAAAATAACTTTCCACTGCCAATAGAGCATGAATAAGAAAAACAGTGTGAACGAGTACATAGAAGATAGTAAAGGGAATAAATCTGGATATGCTGGTGGAGGTGAAATTAGTAAGTCACTGAGAATCAAAATACCATAGCTAAAAAGGATAAAAAGTGTAGTAAATAACGAAATATTATTGTTACTCCTAGTATTGCTTCGTAATTTTCGACTCTCAGCAGAACGTTTGTCATTATCATCGCTTTTAAGTATTGTAAAATAGCCTAGAATGGTATGCATACATATTAAACATAAACTAGCCAATAGTAGACCATCCTTCTTAAATAATGGCCACATACTAAGAGTAGAGCATAAAGAGAATAGAAACGACGATATTGGATAAAAAGGTAGTAAACAAAAAGCAGGAATAGACACTAACAAAATTGATTTTTCATGAACTTGGAAGGAAAACAAGTAGAAAATCAGAGCACTGAGAGCTAGAGAAATTAGGAATTTTCGTTTCTTTGATTTCCCTAGCAAAACTAGGCAAGATGGAAGGCAAGTAATTAGTACAAGTAGAATGCTAACCCATACCAGTTTATTAGACGATAATGTTTGGGATGAGGTCGAAAATAATGAGCGCCACTTAACTAATGGTGAAGTAGCGCACCAAAAATTAGATACTTTATCTTCGTAAATACCTCGATCAAACGGAAACAAACGTCGAACGACTTGATGTAAAAGATTCGAGTCATATGTTATTAAGAACGGCGCAAATATTAAAAGCATTGTAAAGAAAACAATACAACTTAGTTTGACTAAATGTATTAATCCACAGCACACAGATTTTTTATGAATACAGTTGCTTAATAAATAGAAAAAAATTGGTAACGCATGGTATAGTTCCATTTGTTTATATCCCAAAGCTAAACAAAATAATACAGAACCGACCAAATCCCATTCAAGGAGGAAAAAATTAACCCCGGTCAAGAACAAACCAAGACTGATACAATTGTATTGAAAATGCCCATGATCAATTAATATAAGACCAGGATAAGTCAGCACCAGACAAGCCGAATAAAATCCGCTAAGTTTTGGTGGCTGATTACTGCTACTCATAATTTTAGGTAGAACATAATGGAAAAATACTAATACAGAAGGTATAAAAAATAATAAATCAGCCACCAATACAGTATAACGCATGAACAACTTGTGCTCTCTAGATTCGAAACCTCTGGAGGTGTACAACTGAACCCAATTATGGTCCATTTTATTAGCTAATTTACCCATGAGCCAACTATGATATGCCGTAACAGGTGGATAATCTAAGCCCCAATAATTCAAATCATTTCTTGTTGAATTTGTATACCATTCTGAAAACGGTAAATTAACAGTAATTTCCATCCAGTGACGTTGAGCTTCATAGTCACCAAACATAGGTGGTTTGTTTTCTCCGGAATATGATTGTAAACTGATTGATGACCGCATGCTGATCCCGATGAAAACCGGTAGACAAATTTTAACAAAGTTATCAATGTTTACATCTACCATGGCTGTTACTTGTTGTACTATAAAACGAGTAAGAATAAAGGCAAACAGATTAATTACTATCAATCAAATAGTAAAACACTGTTGCTGAATTCTAAAACATCTGTTAACATAAATGAAATACTATAATAAAACTGAAGTACTCACTAATGCATAGGATCTAGTACGTATGGTGTGTTACAGTTACTTTCATAACAAACATAACTATACAGATTTTTATTAGCTCTACATAATGACTTTTTCAATTCATAGACACTGGCATATATGCAAAATATACTACGCCAGAGAGACCTAACAAGTCAGGAATGGTTTACATATCTTTGTATAAAATAACAGTAATATTGAATAGCTGTAACCATATTAACGTCTGAAAAACAAACACACTTCATGAAGTTAGTAATTTAAATGCAGCAGCAAAGTGTAGAAACGTGTAGACGGAACAATGAGTACATATCTAATAGAGTTTAAAATAAAGTCACCATTTATGCGACTGGCTGAGATGCTAGATAATTTTTGGGTATGCTTTAATCGAGGGTGGTTCCTGTAGTTGTTGGGCATATATGACGAACCGAGAACTAGTTAATAATACTAAATGGTTTATAAATAATCAGACATCTATAAATTCTATTTTTCCTAGGACTTCACTGCAGTAAGCATGTAGACAGTATCCACCAACAATTAGCGATTACACACTCACTTGTGCAGGGACAATTTTTAACTTAGACGTGAGCAATATCAAACTAGCGACTTAGATGTGATTATCAAATCCTAGGAAAAACATGTGAACCGGCCCATTCTCGTTACTGCCGAGGACTGTGGTAGAAACCATATTTTAAAATGGTATCACGTAACATTTGACCTCATATTCAACGTGTTTATCTCCGTTTGGCATGCTTCACCAAGCGTGTATTATATGACTACACGAAACTGCTGTTTAGGCATTGTAGAGCTTGCTCCAGTAATGAATAAAGCAACGTAATATGGATTTGAGGATGCAATCGAAAGATGTGATGAGCAGCCCACTGTCACTTATTTACTGGCAATATTATATTTTGTTCTGCATTAACTTTCTTAAACCACGTGTAATTTTAGTAAATCTGATCTACTAGGCTTAAAAATTTGTTTCGTGATAGTAAGGAATCCAAACATACCATAAATTTAGTGAAAAAGTATATAATTTAAGTGGGTTTCGCCAAATATTGAGGACAGCAGGCTATTATGCTTGAACGTAGACTCAATGTAAACACGTTGGATAAAGTTATACAATTTGGCACAAGTTCAGGTGTAAAGTAAACAATCTACCATGGATTTGGAGATATTTCAAACGCACAGTGACAAAACTGATCGAATGATCCCACTACTTCCTCACAGTAGGCGGAAATGTGGAATTTCGGTGTATTTCCCTACTATATACACAAAAATACCTTTTCTAATTTTCCTGCGTTTATCACTATTTTTGGGTTTGTATGCATAGTTACGACACGTATATAATATGGGATCAGAAATTTGTGTTCAGACTGAAGTTTGAATGAAACGATTCGAGTGCAGCTAAATATTTTGAGTCCACCAAATAAATTAAATGTTTGCAGTGGCTAGAGAGAGGATATGCGCATCGCACAACACACTTACCTCTTCAGTATAAAAAGAAGCAACACGGTTTATAACACGCACCTTGAAAGTGTCCTCCAATAGCCAATATCTAATATCTTTTTCACGAGCTAGTGTAAACCAACTTATTTCTCCGCGCTCGATTCTTGTTCTTTCGATACGGTTCCAGGTGTTAGGTAGTTTTCAAAGGATAAAAGTCTAGCCAATCGGCTGGAATTAGTACAGTGGATTGGAAGTTGTTTGTGAGTTTGTATGTCCTGTGATTTGAATGAAAACGTTTGTTTCAGGAAAGTTGGGTTTCTGGATGTCAGCAGTTATCATGTTACAAACTGGAGGTCAGTTAGTTGTAATGTGGAGAATAATAAGGATAAAATTCTAGTGCTAATATGAATAAGATTTCAGAACTAAGTAATATATAGATAATTTAGTTAATTGATTGGTTATGAGGATTGTGAGAGAGGACCGTAGTGTAAGCAAGGAGGAGTGAAAAGAGATGAGAGGCGAGATAGATTAAGTAAGTGAACTAAGATGGCAATGATAACAACTAGCAGGTGTCAAGATATGCATCATGAACAGCTTGTTCACAAGGCGGACCATACTCCATACGTGAATACGTGTTTTTCTAGTCTCTTCTTAAAGCTGTCCACTGAGGAGTCTGTAGTCACCTTAGCGGGCAGAGAATATGAAAAGTGAGAAAAGTGTGCACGAACAGGAGTATTCGCATTTTCGGAGGATTGCCTGGAGAGGAGTGGTGGTGATTCGTCGTTAAGATGCTCACGTTGGGATGGTATGGCGTGCTTAATATGTTGTACGCCACAATTAGATCACCTCTGATTCTCCTGTAACTCAGTGGGAGAAATCATAAGTGCTGGGGTCTATATTTGTAAGGTTTATTCTTCAACCCATTCACCCATTTCGTTGCTCGTCTCTGCACTCCATCCAAGAGATTTATGTCTCTTTTATGTAGAAGGGGTGCAATGATATTGCGAACCTCCAGATGTGGGGGCGCGTATGTCTTAAATAACGTTAAGAATAATTCTGGAGTGATAGAACCAAGTTATCTTCGCACAAAGTGAAGAGTTGCTTTGGCTTCGACTGCGTCCCCTATATAGTTCGAGATGGTGCGGAGGCTTTCAGTGGTTAGGAAGCTGAGATCGCGATCTGAGGCGACATTTGAGAACGGACTTCCGTTGAGGGTAAACTGACTGTGTCACGTTGGGCAGAATGTACATAACGTGATATTTCGACTGGTTTCGTTTTAAACCGTTTTTCTCCATCCTTTCCTCAATAGATGTAAGGTCCTTTTGTAGCTCGGTCGAATCCTCTTCGATTATATTTTGGACCCCCATATCTTCGCATCGTCTGCGTAGATCAATGCCTGTGAGCTAACTGAGCCTAACAGGTCGTTAATAAATATCAGGGAGAGGCGTGGACCTAAGATGGGTCCCCGTGAAACTCCCAATGTTGAGATTCACCAAATCGCGTGCACTCTGCTTACCTCGGTACCAAACTGTCTATTCTCAAGGTAGTTTCTGAGCCAAGATAAGAGTGGGTCAGTGAAGCCGGTTCCCGCAACTTTCGCATTCAGGGGTTTGTGGTGTACTATGTCGAAGGCTTTTGCAAGGTCGATAAATATCACGTGCACCGCTACTTTTCGGTCCAAGCGGGATTTCCAACTGTCCCATGCTATGAGAAGATTAGATGCGCACGACCCGCTTTTCCTAAACGCATGCTGAACTTGATGGAAGGTTTCGTTGATATCCATGTACTCCCTCATATGTGTTCGTTCACGAGCCCTGTAGTAGTAATGCGACTAGTCTGCAACAGAATGAGTTCCTCCTATCTTATGAGATTGGAGGGAGAGTATCCTGTTTCCATTCAGCTGGCAGTTGGTGCGATTCCAGTGAATGCCTAAACAGGTCACACGTCGGTGAACGGAGGGCTTCTGCACATAGCTTCAAGACTATGGGGCAAATACTGTCACGACTTGGTGACTTTCCTGGGCGTAAGGATTTTAGTTTCCTTAGTACTAAGTAAATAGTAATGAGGATATTCTCTACGCCCTCAGGTGGCACTGGGTTTGAGTAATGCTTTGAACATGGGGATACCTGGTTTAAGTGGTGTTGACGATTTGAACCATTTCTAGGTTGATAAGAACTTCAACATTCAGACCTTCAAATGCACACACCCCCTGGTTAGTAGGTTCTCGTATTGTTATGAACCCAGAGAGATACCTCGGTTTTAACTGTATTTTGGCAGCTAGCTTCATTTCAAAGTGTCTCATATCACTTCAAACTTTGGCACTGCATCTGTTTCACAATACCAAGTAAGGACTATGGTTTCAATCCGTCAGAGAGACCTTCCACTTGTGCCAGGTCCTACTTTTCGTCTGTGGCAAGCGTTCAGGACATCGCTAAACTAAGTTCTTTTATTTCCGGTTTCTTGATGTGCCTGAAGTACAACACTTACGTCTGCTCCAGTGTCGACGAGATATCGAACCATGACCAATGATGTGAAGAAGATGACTTTGTATTTTTTGTTCTATTGCTTATGGAAAGACAAGTCAAGCGATCCGTTTCGAAGTAAATCTAGTTTATTATTCTTCTTAATCAGTAATTTTTTCAAACATTTTAATGAAAGACCAACGATATAGTGATATTTGACGATCATTTGCCAAAAGCTCAATATCACTTTCAATGTGTCCCTAAAAAGCACATAAAAAACGCTAAATCTTTAACATATGAAGATATACCACTCGGTAAACTTCAATTTAACTTTACATGAATCAGTTGTGAACATGATAAACTGTGGAAGAAATTATCTCACTAAACAATTACAATTAGATCCAGAAGAATTTTTGTAAATTTATTGTTTAATATCAAATAAGTTGTAGATTTGGATTTCATTGGCCGCCATTCAATAGTGTCCATCATTTACATATGCATATCATTGGACCTAAACAATCTGTGCGGCTTAATCCAATGTTTGATTCACGATTTCGTATTTTCAGACAAGTAAGCATTCCATTAATCTTCTTTTTTCGATCAATTCGTTACTAGACTGAGAAAGTTTTGGATGATTTGAAAAAACAGAAGCATAAACGAACAAAATGAAATAAGTTGTTAAAGTGGAGAAATTAATCAGCTTGTTTTGCATGTGCTTTCATATTTACTTTCTCATTTTATTAATGGTCAGAATAATGTGGATAGTTCTTATTGTATCTTTTAATCTTTTTACTTGATAATCAGTCTTTCATATACAAATCCATATTCTGTGATTGTTCGAACTGAGAATGTTTGCTGACACTATCCTTAAACTTGTGATATTTTGTTGCGACAAACGATGTGTTTTCATGATTTCGTCAGATGTAATTTTCAATGAATTATATTTTTTTGCTATCTTTATTACGAATTTTGAATATGTCGATGTTCGACATAGTATTTGAAGCTCTGAATTTTCATCTAATGGTTCATAGATTCGAAACAATGTAGCTACTTTGACTTCGTCAGTCCTGCAGTATAATAACTCAGAAAATGTGTGCCTCGATAATTAGTAAATAGGCTTGTGCTGGGTAGACAAGTAACATTAGTTATTGCTATGATTTAAACTTATCTACAATGGGATATAAAATCAGTAGTCACATATGTCGGAAACATAAACTAGTGGGTAAAAGAGTTTCAATAAACTTTGGAAGTCCCTAACAATTGAGTGGATGCTCCAAGTTACACTTGGGCGAGTTGTAAACTAGATGCAGTCAGTCAGTCAGTTACAACGTAGAAGTTCGTACGTACCTACATCAGTCTCCATACCACATTAGCGTAGAGACCCAATTGTCAATTCAAATCCCATAATAGTAGCGGTAGTAGAAGTATTGGTAGTAATCAAAAAGATTAATGATCGAATGCATCATTCGAGATGTATATCCCAGCGAAATCGATTAAAAAATCAGAAAGAAAAAAATGGATTCACCTGCGACATAACAGACAGTTCTGAGCCATGCCATCGATTACTATCATTTCGCGGTCCACAACCGGGTAGTCGACAACTAGTAACATGACTCGATTCACTTGTTAGAGACTTCATGGATTTCTGCCATATTTTGGTTCAGCCATCCCTAGGTTTCTTCCTAACTAATCCTACACCGCAAAACACAGCTCGACGAGGCAGTCGGTGGTTGTGCATTCATAACGCATGTCCCAACAACCACAACCTCATATAACAACAATATTGCTTACCTGATAGTCCCACGATAAACGAGCAATGCTTCGGAGACACCTATGATCGAAGACCAGTAACCTACGAATATCCTCTACTCTAACTGGCCATGTTTCACAGCCATAAAGTAAGACGAAGCGGAAAGCTGCACAGTACACTCGTCCTTTGGTTAGCAGCCGGATATCTCCCCTACGCCATAAGTGACGCAGGTTGGCGAAAGCCAGTCGAGCATGCTTGCAATGTTGCTTAAGGTAGTCAGGAGACAATGCATTTTGTCAGTGTCTTCACCAACTAAAACCGTGTCATCGGCATGTTCTAAGTTTACAAACGAGTATCCTGTTAGAAGGTCCACCCTGGAAAAGTCAGACGAGGATAATTTTATCTCTAAATGCAAGTCCAAGACAAAATTAAACAAGCATGAAGAAAGTGGACAACCCCGACTGACACCACTTGAACTAATCGTTTCCAATGAGAGTTCGCCATGAACCCTAACTGGACATGTAATGTTCTAGTAGAGAGCTTGTAAAAAGGTAAAAGGAGCTGATGCGACAAATACGTAGACTAAAGATTTTTACATAATTATGCTGTGCGATGAAAGTGATGGAATTAAAAAGATGGCGGTTATAACTATAGCGCATCCAAGCTATATTTTACATATTTAGTATGGTATTGCAAACAACATTTTTATTTCTCTGACTTTGCGTCTCATTTACTTTCTCTCGATGTACCGATGGTCTGGCAACTTGTACCGATGTAAAACTACGTCAAACGTAAGTATCCGCGACTGGTAATGTCAGCAATTGCTTTTGTATCATAGATGCTCAGATTATATTAATAGGTTACACTATTACTTCTGAACATCCTGTTATGCACAAACAGTTTATTACGAAGTGTTGGTAACAAATGTAGTAAGTTTCGTCATATGAACTGTTGCATCATACGACTTCTCCATTCTACTGTAAAATGGCAGTATCTAAATTTTATGCAGGGTGACTTTGGTCTTCTCGTTTCATTTCATTTTAAAAAGCATATGTTGTCAGGTTATAGATAGAAAATGGTAGTCACATAGGATCTCATTTCTATTCCATGGTTAAGGTCCTACATATCATAGAATAGAGTGGCTGGAGACATCAAATGTTGCACAGACAGTGACGATCGTATAGTTTTGTATTACTCTCCAGAGATCACTTTTCTTACGTGAAAAAGACTTTTAGGTGCATTTTCGTAGTGAAGGCAGTTTTCTGTGGCTTAGCTATTAAAATAACTGAACAGAATATGCTATTCAATAGATGAAGGCGATGATATAACTTGGCTGAATGATTTCCATTCACGAGATTCTAGCATTAATTGAATTCATCATCACCTCACTGAATTATACTTCTTGAATAACATCTTCGAACCCTAATCTCTCCGATTACTTCTAATACTTTTACTATATCTACTTCTACGGGATTTGAATTCTCAATTATATCTCTGTACCAACGTGGTATGGCAACTTGAACTGCTGAACTTACGTACGAAGTTCTACGTTGCTGTTGATGATGATAGGTCCCTGAATGGTTAGACCGATAACCATATGAACAGTATGAAGTATATACTGCGGACGAAACTTTTGACTCCAATCCAACTGAAGTTTACAACCCTTAAAAATATGTAGTTACAAAGGGTTTAAAAACGGGTGTTTTGTAGGCTGCGCAAGAAATTGTATCTCATAGTGAAAACTAGTAAGCAACAGACGGTAGGTTGAGACAAAAACCTATAATAAAAACCTGCCGACTGTTAAATTCAGGATATGCTCTTTGGCCGTAACTGTAGTAGGAGGTACGTGATATGATACCATCGTCATCAAAATATTCTCTTCCTCACTCTGCCGGAGTACATTAAAACGTAAAGCCCTGCGCCAAACCGAGACGTCTAGTCAGCGACTCGAAAGATCATATCATTAACCTAGATGAATATTTCCTCATGCTCATACACAGAATATGAACACAAAATAAACATACTATACTCAGAATTACTGAACTGTACAACACATCATACCCAGAGAAGTGATAACACTACCAACTTTACTAAAATAATCAGAGTTAATATTTTCATGATTATCAATATATCATCACATTAGTGCTTAAAAAAAGTATCACTTCAATTTAACAAAGACAAAAAGCAAAATCGAAATCTTTAACAACTCCATGTGTCATGCTCATTAAAATAAAAAATGACATAGAACAAATAATTGGGCGGAGAAAAGATGAATTTCTGCTCCCACCGTCAATATGTCCCACCATTAATTTCATTGGTGCTTACGAAATCTATATAAATGGATCATCTCATAGAAATCATAAATCAAACAGAAATGACATAATTCTTGCCTATTTGAGGCATGAATAATATAAATACATTTTACTCAATTGGACAGTTTGTTTTCTGTGAATATTTTGTGTCATAAATAGAGATTCTCCTAGAGTAAATCAAGATAATAATGGGATTATTGACCGAACCCAGATGTCGAGACAAAAAATGAAAATAACATTCATAAACAAGAAAATTATTGATAATAAAGAGCTTTTGTCTTCTGTATACAAAACAATGAAAGTTATATCAATTGAATAAAATCATGAGGAAAAGTCAAAGTGAAAATTAATCAGTTGAAATGAATATGTATTTCCGGTTACTATTGTTTTATTCTAGAAAAGATACAAAGTGTGAGGTGACATGCAAATTCTCAAAGGTGGATAAAAATGTTAAGAAGAAATGATGCATTGAAATAGGGAAAAATGGAAAGAGGAAATTCATCATACTATGCACCAGTTTGAAACTGTCTATTGATAATAATAAATAACATAAACATCGAAAGACTAACAACATGAAAACACCTCAAAAAATTATAATCTCAGCAGTTAGTAGCTGACTGAAATGGGTTCGACTGAAGGTCAACAGAATTTCGACTAAAAGGTCTTGGTCCACTTTGTGATCGAATACGTTCGGCGCGTCGAGTAGGAGTGCAATCCCCAAGCCCTAGTATTTGGTGCGCTTGTTGACGAGGGGTATTTTCTTTACAACTATCACCTTTGACTCCTTTGCTTTCAAGGCTTCTCGTAGTGTTAAATGAATGATGTCTATGGTTGCTCTAAAATGAAGCAATTGAAAGCAAATCACAAAACCATTTCTTAGCATACAGTATATCACACGACTACTCGACAAAATGAAAATATCATATACTTCATAGAATCTACCGATTGGGATTCCAAAACTGCGTATGATCATTAGAGGCAAGTGGAAATACAATTTCAAGTCGAACAGTTCACATTTCCTTCGGGTTGTCTTTATTGGTTCACACAACAAAATCTATTCGGTTACAGATGTTAACGGACATTCTGCTGATGTGATTTACAATTACCTCATAAGTTGAGACATATATCGAAAACTGATCCTATTCTATCAGGATCTCTTCATGTTTGTGTTTGGATATTCACCAAATATTCGATCACAAAGTGGACCAAGACCTTTTAGTCGAAATTCTGTTGACCTTCAGTCGAACCCATTTCAGTCAGCTACTAACTGCTGAGATTATAATTTTTTGAGGTGTTTTCATGTTGTTAGTCTTTCGATGTTTATGTTATTTATTATTATCAATAGACAGTTTCAAACTGGTGCATAGTATCATGAATTCCCTCTTTCCATTTTTCCCGATTTCAATGCATCATTTCTTCTTAACATTTTTATCCACCTTTGAGAATTTGCATGTCACCTCACACTTTGTATCTTTTCTAGAATAAAACAATAGTAACCAGAAATACATATTCATTTCAACTGATTAATTTTCACTTTGAATTTTCCTCATGATTTTATTCAATTGATATAACTTTCATTGTTTTGTATACAGAAGACAAAAGCTCTTTATTATCAATAATTTTCTTGTTTATGAATGTTATTTTCATTTTTTATCTCGACGTCTGGGTTCGGTCAATAATCCCATTATTATCTTGATTTACTGTAGGAGAATCTCTATTTATGACACAAAATATTCATAGAAAACAAACTGTCCAATTGAGTAAAATGTATTTATATTATTCATGCCTCAAATAGGCAAGAATTATGTCATTTTTGTTTGATTTATGATTTCTATGAGATGATCCATTTATATAGATTTCGTAAGCACAATGAAATTAATGGTGGGACATATTGACGGAGGGAGCAGAAATTCATCTTTTCTCCGCCCAATTATTTGTTCTATGTCATTTTTTATTTTAATGAGCATGACACATGGAGTTGTTAAAGATTTCGATTTTGCTTTTTGTCTTTGTTAAATTGAAGTGATACTTTTTTTTAAGCACTAATGTGATGATATATTATTGATAATCATGAAAATATTAACTCTGATTATTTTAGTAAAGTTGGTAGTGTTATTATTTCGCTGCGTATGATGTGTTGTACAGTTCAGTAATTCTGAGTATAGTATGTTTATTTTGTGTTCATATTCTGTATATGAGCATGAGGAAATATTCATCTAGGTTAGTGATATGATCTTTCGAGTCGCTGACTAGACGTCTCGGTTTGGCGCAGGGCTTTACGTTTTAATGTACTCCGGCAGAGTGAGGAAGAGAATATTTTGATGACGATGGTATCATATCATGTACTTCCTACGACAGTACGGCCAAACAGCATATCCTGAGTTTAGCAGTCGGCAGGTTTTTTATTATAGGTTTTTGTCTCAACTTACCATCTGGTTCTTACTAGTTTTCACGATGAGATACAATTTCTTGCACAGCCTACAAAACACCCGTTTTTAAACCCTTTGTAACTACATATTTTTAAGGGTTGTAAACTTCAGTTGGATTGGAGTCAAAAGTTTCGTCCGCAGTATATACTTCATAATGTTCATATGGTTATCGGTCTAACCATTCAGGGACCTATCATCATCAACAGCAACGTAGAACTTTGTACGTAAGTTCAGCAGTTCAAGTTGCCATACCACGTTGGTACAGAGATATAATTGAGAATTCAAATCCCGTAGAAGTAGATATAGTAAAAGTATTAGAAGTAATCGGAGAGATTAGGGTTCGAAGATGTTATTCAAGAAGTATAATTCAGTGAGGTGATGATGAATTCAATTAATACTAGAATCTCGTGAATGGAAATCATTCAGCCAAGTTATATCATCGCCTTCATCTATTGAATAGCATATTCTGTTCAGTTATTTTAATAACTAAGCCACAGAAAACTGCCTTCACTACGAAAATACACCTAAAAGTCTTTTTCACGTAAGAAAAGTGATCTCTGGAGAGTAATACAAAACTATACGATCGTCACTGGCTGTGCAACATTTGATGTCTCCAGCCACTCTATTCTATGATATGTAGGACCTTAACCATGGAATAGAAATGAGATCCTATGTGACTACCATTTTCTATCTATAACCTGACAACATATGCTTTTTAAAATGAAATGAAACGAGAAGACCAAAGTCACCCTGCATAAAATTTAGATACTGCCATTTTACAGTAGAATGGAGAAGTCGTATGATGCAACAGTTCATATGACGAAACTTACTACATTTGTTACCAACACTTCGTAATAAACTGTTTGTGCATAACAGGATGTTCAGAAGTAATAGTGTAACCTAGTAATATAATCTGAGCATCTATGATACAAAAGCAATTGCTGACATTACCAGTCGCGGATACTTACGTCTAACGTAGTTTTACATCGGTACATCGAGAGAAAGTAAATGAGACGCAAAGTCAGAGAAATAAAAATGTTGGTTGCAATACGATACTAAATATGTAAAATATAGCTTGGATGCGCTATAGTTATAACCGCCATCTTTTTAATTCCACCACTTTCATCGCACAGCATAATTATATAAAAATCTTCAGTCTACGTATTTGTCGCATCAGCTCCTTTTACCTTTTTACAAGCTCTCTACTAGAACACTACTTGTCCAGTTAGAGTTCATGGCGAACTCTCATTTGAATCGATTAGTTCAAGTGGTGTCAGTCGGGGTTGTCCACTTTCTTCATTCTTGTTTAATTTTGTCTTGGACTTGCATTTAGAGATAAAATTATCCTCTTCTGACTTTTCCAGGGTGGACCTTCCAACAGGATACTCGCTTGTAGACTTAGAACATGCCGATGACACGGTTTTAGTTGGTGAAGACACTAACAAAATGCATTGTCTCCTGACTACCTTAAGCAACACTGCAAGCATGTTCGGAATGCGATACTCCCTGTCGAAATGCGAAGTGTTACTCCAAGACCGGCTTGCATCGGCACCTGAGCTATAGTAGGGAGTGAAATATTCGAGCGTGTTGACCGCTTCACCTATCTTGGGAGTCTCATCAGTGCTTGTGACTGACGAGATCTCATCTAAGATACAGAAGGCTCGATTGGCTTTTGACAACTTGCGTCACTTATGTCGTAGGCGAGATATCCGTCTGCTAACCAAAGGACGAGTGTACTGTGCAGCTTTCCGCTTCGTCTTACTTTATGGCTGTGAAACATGGCCAGTTAGAGTAGAGGATATTCTTAGGTTACTGGTCTTCGATCATAGGTGTCTCCGGAGCAATATTGTTGTTAGGTGAAGTAGTGATACTTCATCAGTTGTGGTAGTTGGGACATGTGTTATGAATGCACAACCACCGACTGCCTCGCCGAGCTATGTTTTGCGGTGTAGGAGTAGTTAGGAAGAAACCTAGGGATGGCTAAACCAAAATATGGCAGAAATCCATGAAGTCACTAACAAGTGAATTGAGTCATGTTACTAGTTGTCGACTACCGGGTTGTGGACCGCGAAATGATAGTATTCGATGGCATGGCTCAAAACTGTCTGGGATATACATATCGAATGGTGTATTCGATCATTATTCTTTTTGTTTACTGTCAATACTTCTACTAGAGCTACTATTATGGGATTTGGACTGACAATCGCGTCTCTGTGCTAATGTGGTATGGAGACTTGAACTGATGTACGAACATACGAACTTCTACGTTATAACTGGCTGGACCTACTTTACAACTACTGACTGACTGACTGCATCTAGTTTACAACTTGCCCAAGTGTAACTTGGAGCATCCACCCAATTGTTAGGGACTTCCAAAGTTTATTGAAACTCTTTTACCCGCTAGTTTGCGTTTCCAACAGATGTGACTACTGATTTTATATATCCTCGTAGATAATTTTAAATCATAGCAATAACTAATGTTACTTGTCTACCCAGCACAAGCCTATTTACGAATTATCGAGGCACACATTTTCTGAGTTATTATACTGCAGGACTGACGAAGTCAAAGTAGCTACATTGTTTCGAATCTACAAACCATTAGATGAAAATTCAGAGCTTCAAATACTATGTCGAACATCGACATATTCAAAATTCGTAATAAAGATAGCAAAAAAATATAATTCATTGAAAATTACATCTGATGAAATCATGAAAGCACATCGTTTGTCGCAACAAAATATCACAAGTTTAAGGATAGTGTCAGCAAACATTCTCAGTTCGAACAATCACAGAATATGGATTTGTATATGAAAGACTGATTATCAAGTAAAAAGATTAAAAGATACAATAAGAACTATCCACATTATTCTGACCATTAATAAAATGAGAAAGTAAATATGAAAGCACATGCAAAACAAGCTGATTAAGTTCTCCACTTTAACAACTTATTTCATTTTGTTCGTTTATGCTTCTGTTTTTTCAAATCATCCAAAACTTTCTCAGTCTAGTAACGAATTGATCGAAAAAAGAAGATTAATGGAATGCTTACTTGTCTGAAAATACGAAATCGTGAATCAAACATTGGATTAAGCCGCACAGATTGTTTAGGTCCAATGATATGCATATGTAAATGATGGACACTATTGAATGGCGGCCAATGAAATCCAAATCTACAACTTATTTGATATTAAACAATAAATTTACAAAAATTCTTCTGGATCTAATTGTAATTGTTTAGTGAGATAATTTCTTCCACAGTTTATCATGTTCACAACTGATTCATGTAAAGTTAAATTGAAGTTTACCGAGTGGTATATCTTCATATGTTAAAGATTTAGCGTTTTTTATGTGCTTTTTAGGGACACATTGAAAGTGATACTGAGCTTTTGGCAAATGATCGTCAAATATTACTATATCGTTGGTCTTTCATTAAAATGTTTGAAAAAAATTACTGATTAAGAAGAATAATAAACTAGATTTACTTCGAAACGGATTGCTTGACTTGTCTTTCCATAAGCAATAGAACAAAAAATACAATCCTCTGATTTTCCCATGGATTCTCCTTTCCTTTTTTATCTATAAAATTTGAGACAGAAATGTTTTGGTATCTCGGTGTATCCAAGTAAAACCATGTGTGAATTTTGTATAGGAATATGTATAGATAGAGAATCGAATGGTTCAGTCATTACGGGTAATAGGTCTAAATCCTACTTTTACTCATTTTTTGAGTAGTCGGGTAGTAGAATACGGTCTAATACAAAAAATGAAGCCTCAACATCGAATAAGTGAACCTACTGTTCTTGACAAACAGATTACAGCATAAGTCATAAATCTGCCTTAGCATTTCTAACATGTCTTTGTGTTTCAAATTATACAAATAGTTAACAAAAGTATTGGGTAACCGGAGGTAAAAATGGCAGCCATGAGACGTTAAGATCGAATAACATTTAATTTGTCTATCAGTCTAATTCTAAAAAATTCATCACATAAAACCAGTTTTTTGGCTAATTCAAAAAATCCTAAAACTATCATGTACATTTTTGATCTGACCAGGACACTAAACCATGTACACGGTGAAATTAAAGTACACTTTGCTACAAGTATTGTAAGTTTGAATAGTAGGTGTATCCAGCCAATTTAATAGCGGCTGGCGACTTTAAAGCTCAAGTAGGTAGACTAAGAGAAAAGTAGAGAAACCTGGGAGGATTTTATGGTGTTGCAGCTCAAAGAACAGATAATGACAACCGTCTACAGCACCTATTTTCAGATAACGGCCTATTTCTGAGAAATGTCAATTTCGAGCATAAGGAAAAACATTTTATGACATGGCAATCACCGGAATCGACTCGAAGCTGGACCCCACAAGACCATATTGCTATCAGCTCAACTCATCTGGCTCTGAACACCATGAGTAGAAGCAGGTCAAGCGCAGGCCGACAAAAAGCCTATACCATGACCACGAACAGTAGTGGGTAATAAGAGCGATAGAAAAGGCATCGATGATAGGTAAAAAAAATACGACTGTTCGGACTTATAACGAAAACTGGGATTAGGAATCCGACTATTAGCGAAAGTCTAGGAAAAAGATGGGACTATCATTCATTCTCAATCCACGAGATTGAATCAATATGCAGAACACCTTAAGGATCAGTTCATCTGGCCTACAACTACACCAGTTACTCCCAATCTCCATTCAACCTGAATGACAAGTTGATGTGAGTCCTCCCACCCTTAATGAGGTTGAAAAGGCTATAGGCAATGTAAGGTGAGGTAGGACAGCAGATTTTTACGGACGGTGGTCCAGTTTAAGCAGCCAGATTGACTGAGAGCTTAGCAAGGATCTGGAAACCGGACCTCATTCCATCAAACTGGTCTTAATCACAGATCACCCAAGTCCATAATATAGGACAAAATTCCTCTAGTGACTATCACAGAGGAACAAGTTTGACAAATATTGTGTTAATATAGCTTCGACGCCTAAATAGAGCTCGTGGAGAGCAGACTCGTGAAAACCAAGCTGGTTTTACACCTGAACGTGGATGCATAGACCAGACACCCACACTTCGAAAAGTCCTAGAACATTGACACACATCCAGACGTCCGGTAACAGTTGAGTTTCTCAACCTTAAGGAGGCTTCTGACTCTGTCGATAGCGAGGTTTTGTGTCAGGGTCTCTCATTCAAAGAAGCATCACAGAGGTACATTAACCTTGTACAGTCTCTCTACTCCAACACTACTGGTCGAGTCACAGCTTATGGTGAACTGTCAGTCGAATTGATTACTTCAAGTGGTGTTTGCCAAGGTTGTCACTCTCTACATTCTTACTCAACTTTATCATTAACATGCTTTAAGAGACGACACATTCGTTGCCTGACTTTTCAAGAGTTGAACTTTCGCTGATAGGCTTACTTATTGACCTAGAGCATGCCAATGACATGGTTCTGTTTAGTGAAGGCGCTGAAAAGATGCAGTTTTCTGAACACCTAGAAAAACTTCGTAAGCATGTTGGGGTGCAATTGTCCTCTTTCTTACCAGCTAGAGCCACCTGTAGAGTAGGCAAGATATCCGTCTCTCATACAGAGGACGGTTTTTCTGCACAGCAGTTCGTTTCGTCCTAATTTATGGCTTTAAAACCTGTCCACTGAGAATAAAGGACATTGTCATGTTGCTAACGTTCGACCATTGGTGTCTTCGAAGCATTGCTCGTATATTCTGGGACCGTCGAGTAAGTAATGCTATGATGAAGAGGGTACTACGTAGGGATGGCAAATCGATCAATGAAACATTACATTCTCATCAGTTGAGGTGGTTGGGACATGTTACATAAGCCCGACCACCGTCCACGTTGACGAGCGACGTTGTCTGACATAGGAGTAAGCTGGCAGAGAGCTAGGGGCAACCAAACTAAAATATGACACAAATCAGTGAAGTCACTTATAACTAGACTGAACCATGTGAATAGGTGTAGACTAGATGGTTTTAGTTCACAAGACAAACGTAACCGACGGGTAGAAACTTTGAATAACATAGCACCAAGTCACTTTTAATTATGCAGAAACATCCATTCTTTGTCCCCTCTTACATACTAATCTTCTGAATTATTCATGACTTTCTTGTCTTTTCAAATTAATTTCACCGGGACATACTTCTTGAATCGTATTTTCGATCTCTAATCTTTTCTTTTATAACTTTAACTTCTACTACCTACTTTACCATGAGATATAGACAATTCGATCGGTATGGTAATGTGGTATGGCAAATTGAACTGATGTACCTACGTACGAAGTTCTACGTTGTAGCTGACTAGGTATCGAATTTACATCACATTCTGATTAGAAATAACAGAAACTTAACTCTGTAATGTGACTTTAATTGTCATTTAAATCAGTAAATTTGTTGGCAGTTTGAATTGAATGCATAAATTGGATTATTGGTACGTAAATGGTAATTGATCACATATTCAAACTAGACTATTGACCAAGCATTTAATCAAGATACAACGTTGGACACAATGTTGATCGGACCTCATAATATCTTTCACGTATAACAAACACACTTAGAATAAAACGCGATCTCGTCATATACCCAAGCAACCAAAAACGGGAAAAAACAAACATTCGTGAAACTCCTTGAGAAACGTTGGCGTCAGTATAAGTCACACCTTTTTTCCCAGCCAGTTGAAAATGTGTGCGGGAGTGTTTCGAAATAAACACCTATATCTTTCCACGAAGTAACACCGAATTATCTAATTTCCCAGAAAATTAACGCCGAATAGTTAACTATTTTCTAAAAAATAATGTCTTCAACGGTCTGACTTGTATTCTGTCTCTACAATTGCAGCTAAAATTAGCGGACTAGTCCACTATGGTATGTATTCTTCGAATAGTATTTCTCTATCTGAATATGTAGCTAAGACTCAAAATCATAGGATTTTCGTTCGCAACCTAAACACAGCTTTATGTACTCTCAATGATCCATGGGACAAAACACCAGAAAAGCTTATAGTACCACTGTAATATTACTGGCACTGTTCAAACTTCAGTATGCTAAGGGAGTTATCTTGTGTGAGGAATCCCAGAATATACAATGAAAAAAGGGTGTGTAAGTCCACGTAAAAAAATTTACTTACATTATCTACTGAAAGCAGTCAATAACAATGATCAATAACACAAAAAAGTTGACAAGCCTGTCAGCTAAGAGTCAAAGTTAGCAACGCAACATTCTGAAATTGTTCAATCCAATATCCAATATCTTTTTAACGAGCGAGTATAAACCAACTTATTTCTTTGCGCTCGATTCTTGTACTTTCGGTACGGCTCCATGTGTTTAGTAGTGTCCAATGAATGGGGGTCTAGCCACTCGACTGTCTAATTCTAGTCATTTTGCAGTTGGTTGTGAGTTTCTGTGTCCCGTGATTTGAATGAAAACGTTTGTTTCAGGGCTGTACGGTTTCTGGATACCAGTAGCTATCACATTACCTGACCAGAGATCAATTAGTTGCAATGTGGAGAATAATAAGGATAAAATTCTAATGCTAATATAAGACTTCAGAACTAAGTAAATAAGTGGATAATTTATTTTATTAATTGGTAATGAAGATTGTGCGAGGGGACTGAATTGTAAGCAAGGTAGAGGAAACAGAGATAATAAGTGAGATAGGTTAATTGAGTGATCTGAGGAGATAGCAACAGTAACGACTAGCAAGCCTCAAAGCATGAATCAGACACATCGTCCACGAGAGAGATGATAATGCGTATGTGAGTACGTGTTTATCAAGTCTCCTTTTAAAGCTGTCCACCGAGGAGGCTGTGGTCTTCTTGGCCGCAGGATTATTTCAAGTTGCAACGACTCTTAATGAGGAAACATGTGAACGAACCTGAATGTTTGCTCCTTCATGCTCAACTTTTCGAGGTTTACTTAGAGGGGAGAGGTGGTAACGCATCGGTAAGGTGTTCACGTTGGTATAGTTTGGCGTGCTTGTGTTATACGCCATAATCGGACGACCTCTGATTCTCCTGTTATTTAGGGAAAATAATCCCGAGTGCCGAAGTCTGTTCTCGTAAGTTTTATTTTTCAATCCTATCACGGATTTCGTTGCTTGTCTCTGCACTCGATCCAAGAGATTTACGTCTCTTCTAAGTAGAGCGGGTGAACCTCAGCATGCGAGCGCGCATATGTCCTAAACAGCATTACGAATAATTCAGGGTTGATAGCACGAAGTTGGATTCGTATAAATTAAAGAGTTGCATTTGCCTTAGATGCGTCCCCTATATAGTTCGAGATGGTGTGATTCTAGTAGTTATCAAACCGAAATCGTTCTACGAGGAAATATTAGGGAGAGAACTTCCACTGAGGTTGTGAATCATTTGCATCATGTCGGGCAGAATGTACATGACGTGAAATTTCGGCTGATTTAGTTATAAACCGTATTACACTACCCATTCACCAATGGATGTCAGGTCCTTTTGAAGCTCAGTTGAATCCTCTTCGCACCCAGTGGACCTCCAGATTTTCGCATCTTCTGTGCAGATCAATGCCGGAAAGCTAACTGTGTCTAAAAGGTCGTTAATGAATATCAGGAAGAGGAGTGGACCTAAAATGGGGCCCTGTGAATCGCTTAATGTTGAGACTCACCAACTTACGTGCAGTTTACTTACCTTGGCACTAAACTTTCTGTTCTCCAGGTAGTTTCTGAGCGAAGATAGGAGCAGGTCAGTGAATCCCGTTTCCGTAACCTTCACAACTAAAAAGAAAAGAGTTTGTAAAGAACATGGTTAATTATATTTTTCATCGTCTATCGCTTTGTTTTGTATCGAATGACGATCTATAAATCAAAATGTAAGTGTCTGAGTAAACGTGTTGCAGGTTGTTTTGGCAATGTAGCGACCTCAACTTGTTTTTTGGGAAGATGAATCTCAGAAGTAGCAACTTTATACGAGCAACCTCATCATCGCTGATTACTCTCCTCATCAATCAAAAAGAGCCAAAAGCAAACAAAAGTTTCCTCCACAAACATGGGTGGATTGAAATCAACGCTCACACCATCAATGTTTGCTGATCGGCAACTCCAATCTCTCCTTTTGTGTTGTTAGGCTTATGTAAATTCATTGTGAGATTATATTTTATGTTCTACTTAAGGCTCTATGTTTCACATCCTGTTGACAACCACTATTTCTGCAAGTTACTTTTAAAAGCTTGTCTGGCTGTTACAAACTTTGAACTGTGGGTTAAACATCAATACAATGCATTTATCAGTTATGGAATGCTTTCTCTACCTTCTGAGTAACATATTAGGGCTATGGATGGAATAGTAAATTTATTCTGGTAAGCGGGAAATTATGCAAGGTCATGCTGCCTGCACGTTCGAGCCATGCTATCTTCATGAAGTGTTCCCTCATCCACCGTTTCTGACCCTCTTCAAGTTTTCGACGGCCATTGTATGTCTTTTTGGTTATTGTATCTTTAGCTTCACATGCCGTGTGGTTTGGAAAAAGTATCACTGGAGGTATACGTTACATTCTTTTTTAGTGATAAAGTGATGGATGTCGCTAATTGCCAACGTGATCAACACAGATTCTTGAATATATTTTGGGGGCGAATTCGTTAAATTTTTCAAGATGCAGAAAAACATTTCATTTCAGTTAACTTATATTTCTCTCTCGAAGATATAGGAAAATTTACTACATTACATACGAATAACAACTGAAAACAACATAGATGATGAGCATGAAATAAAACGATGAGCTCTTCTCGAAAATTTCTTTTAGATATACTTCATTGACAGAATTCTAAAACCAATATATGGTGTTAGTACTCTCACCGGTCTGAAGAAAGTTGGGCGTTAAATTCATGGGAGGTGCGATGGCTTTCCATATTTCTAAGAAAAATGTTTCATTAGGTGAAGCTATTAACTGTCTTCTTCAGCAAGCAAGTTCTTCAGGGGAGTGTCAAAGATAGACTGTCTCTGTGAGCCACCCTAATGTACATCTATCAGTTTACTTGCTTTTGTGAGGCACGTTATGTTGGCTAACTGAATACTATCTTGCAAGGCTATCTAAAAGTAGATGCAAATCTCACTCATTGAATATATTATAATATCCTGGTCCCAACTCTCCAGTGAAAAAACCCGTTCAAAAAGTGTTTGAATGAGATAATTTTGTACTGTGTAGATAAAACATCATTTAAAACCCGACCACTAAGCATCCAGGATCAATCGCTTACACTTCCATGGTCCTAGAAGCTCTTTTGATTAATAAAAATTGTTTTTGATAATTAATGCCTTCGTCTTCTCCTCTTTTACAAGAACGACACTACTTAGTGTTTTGCTCCTTTAGTGATTTCAGTTTTACGAATAAAAGACGATTGGTTAAATAACAACATTCATTGTTATGACCGACTGTATCAGTGAATGTTTTACCGAACAATTTATTTATTCGTACTTTTGTACCACACCTTCCTTCTTCGTAGTCACCATCTTGATTTTGCGGCTCTGTACCGTTCGTCTATTCTCTCTGGCCCGGTTTCAGTTTTATTTCTATACCATGAAAACGCCAATAAATATAATTACTTCATCTGGATAATCCCAGCTCCGTTTCTTATTATTCAAGACGGGATTACGCTTGAGACTCAAACGCAGTTGGTTATCAGACGTGTTCTTAATTATTTGACGCGAAATTCTTAAAGTTCTAAAACCATTACCTTGTGTCAGCTATTGATGATTTTTGATTGACTAAATAAGTGACATACCTATTTTCACTCCATTCTTGAAAACCTAACTAAATTTTTAGTAAAACCCTCCTATTTATAAATTAATGTTTTTTATACACTGCTTAAATCCAATCTGATTATCTCGCTCATATCACGGAATTACTTCACCTTCATTGTTCTCCACTAGAATAAGTATGAATCCTACTTTTAATTTTGTGAAAATTCGCCATTCGACTGTAGACTACTACGTGAAAGATTAACTCTTAATTCGACTGTGCAGCCCCACAGAATAATGTTTTATGTTTTATCACAGATCCTTAGGAATCTCTATTTCTAAGTGGTAATAAAGTTGTTCTATTGAGAATATTACATGCGTTGTGATAAAATAGGTTAACTCTACTATGTTTTATGCAAAGTTGTTGTCGTGGGTTCGAATAAGCTTTCGAAAAAGTGATGCCTCTATGTTATACGCTTGTAACAGCACAAGTTAGGTGGTTAATAGAAAATAATAATAATAATCGCCTATGAGGAATGAAAAATGATAACCAAAATCATTATTTACCTTTTTGTTTTGTGTACAGCTCCGCCAGTAGAACATTCGGGGCTACTGCCGATCCCAAGCCCGGATAAAGTAGGAGGGTTGGACATGGGTTGGAGACCCCATTCCGTCGAAATCTAACTTGCCAAAAAAGACGCTAACCAGAAAAAATAAATCAAACCATTTCAATTCTGCCCTGAAAGTTGGAAGAAGTATTATGACGTCGCGTGATGAAAGCCGGGTTCCCTCGGAAGTCACAGGGCCGATGCCTCTTCTGACAACCAGAGCAACCATTCTTTTATGTACATGGAACGTCCGTACATTGTAGGGGACTGGAAGACTATTTCAAGTTGCTGCAGAAATGAAAAGATACAACCTCGAGGTGCTCGGCATCAGTGAAACGCATTGGACTCGGGTAGGACAAATGAGACTAGCTTCAGGAGAAATGCTGTTATACTCTGGCCATGAAGAGGAAAATGCTTCACATACACAAGGAGTTGCACTGATGTTGTCCAAACAAGCACAAAAGGCAGTGATAGGATGGGAGTCTCATGGACACAGGATCATTAACGCAACCTTCAAAACAAAGAAGTAGGACATTACAATGAACATCATCTAATGTTATGCACCTACCAATGACTACGATGGCTGGACAACGGGGCAGACAACATCACACAAGTTTAATACAGCCTTTCTTCGGGATACCGTAAAACTCAAAGAATTCAAGATAGCCCATCACCAATAGGTTCCAGGCCTTTCAGGATTTACTCAATGGAGAGGACGCAACATTGGAGAACAATTGGAAAGGGATTAAGGAGGCAATCACTTCAACATGTCAGGAGGTTCTTGGTCGCAAGAAGTACCATCACAAGGAATGGATCTCTGTTGGTACTCTTTCAAATATTGAAGAAAGGAGGAACAAGAAGGCAGCAATCAATGTCAGCCGAACAAGAGCATAGAAAGCTACCGCGCACGCTGCATACACAGAAACAAACAGGAAAGTGAAGAAGAGCATCACAGCTGACAAACGAAAATATGTGGAAGATCTAGCAGTGAAGGCGGAAAAGGCTGCAATAGACGGAAACTTGAGACAACTGTACGAAACAAGGAAGAAGCTCGCCGGAAACTATCGTAAACCAGAACGACCAGTGAAAAGCAAGGAAGGCAAAGTAATCAGCAACACTGAAGAACAGCGAAATTGGTGGGTAGAGCA